CTTGACTGTTTGCCCATACATGAGTATTGTCTAGAACACTTCTTCCTATAGCAGCGAGGCCCTGTCACCACTGTGCTTGGCTGAGCTCACAGATCTTCTGTCACCTGGAGCTTCCCTTTCATGTCTCTGGCTCTCCTCTCCTGCCAAGCTTTGTTTCCTGGCAATTAAAACCTTCTGCCACTGTCATAGCCACTGCTACTGCTGGGACACCACAGTCACCTTGGTTTTGTGGTTTAGCGAAGTATTGGGGCCAGAGGGGCCTGAGCTTCGGCCTCCAAAATTTCCTCCCTTCATGGGTCCAAAATTTGAAGACTGATTGTTGTAGTTGCCAAAATCAATGTAACTTCCACCACCTCCAAAATTGCCGCCATCCAGCTCAGAGAAGGAGCACCAAATAAAGGGTGTTGGAAGGATCCTCTCAGGATGGGAGAAGCATGTGGAAAGTAGACTATAGACTGAACATGATTGCCACTCAATGCTTCTTTTGAAAACCACAGCACCCCAAAGGAGAGAGAGAACACAAGGGAATGCCCTGCCACAGACACAGGGTGGGATGAGGGGGGTAGGGAGGGTGGGAGGGATACTGGGATTAGTGGTGGTGGAGAATGGGCACTGGTGGAGGGATGGGTACTCGATCATTGTATAACTGAAAAACAAGCACAAAAATTTGTAAGTCTACAACTGTACCTCATGGTGTTTCACTAATAAAAATTAAAAAAAAAGAAAAAAAAGAAAAAATGAAAAACAAAACAAAACAAACAAAAAAACCAAAAACAAAATGCCGCCATCATTGCCAAATCCATGATAACCATCCTCACGGCCACCATATCCACCACCACCTTGGTTGCCACCAGATCCACCTCATCCACGAAGTTTCCTCCTCAACCAAAGTTGTCATTCCCACCAAAACCACTGCCACGACCACCACCAAAGTTTCCAGAGCCACTTTGACCTCTTGGGCTGGATGAAGCACTGGCCATCTCTTGCTTAGGTGGGGCTTTCCTTACTTCACAGTTGTGGCCGTTGACAGTATGGTACTAATGAATGACAATCTTGCCCACCGAATCATGGTCATCGAATGTCCCAAAAGCAAAGCCTCTCTTCTTGCCACAAACTTGGTCAGTCATGATTTCAATCCCGTCGATTTCTCCATACTATTCAGAATAATCTCTCAGGTGATGTGCTTCCATGTCTTCTTTAATGCCACTGACAAAAATCTTTTTTTTTCTTTATGATTTTTTTGTACATTTTATTTTCATAAAGTAGTTCACAATAGTTCATTACAGATAATATTCAAACACCCACCAAACCAGTGAGCATCTTTCCACCACAATAAGAGGGAAGTGTGTGAAGGTTGTTATCTTTAATTCTGGGGCCATTTAAAGCCCACATATAGAAGAATACAAGCCAGTATGTTAAAGCCAAACACATGTCTGCGACTTTGGGTCCATCACTGGGGTGGAATGTAAGAAGTTGCTCCAGTAAATAACTGTATTGCTCTCTTCCGGGAGCTTTATTTTATAATCTCTGGATCTTGGCCGATGATGAGATTACATGGCTCCAGGGGCAGTTTGTGGGTGTGACTGCCTAGCTACTGGAACACTGGGGAGCTGAGTGGAAGAGGCCCAGTTCTGATCCTACCAGGTTTGGAGATCTTAGCCACATACCTGGGCCCGCATACCTGGGTTTCTCTGTCGGTTCCTTCATGGGTGAGGTGGGTGAGGTTCCTCTGACCGTGTGGCCTTGAGCATGGCTGTGGCTGGGTTCTGGAGGTTTCTGGCTGCCGGGTTTCTGCTTAGGGAGGGGAGGGAAACTCAACCCACCCCTCTTTGAGGGGCCCTGGTGAAGATAGACTGGTGTGGGGTCGGAGATTCTGCCGACAAAAATCTTTTACAGTTAAGTGGGCACCAGGTCTTTGAGAATCTTCTCTCGAGAGAGCCCTCTTTGGTTGCACAGCTCTTCCATCCACCTTGTGTGGCCTTGCATTGGTGGCTGTGGCCACCTCCTCCATGGTGGCCTAGGTCACAAACCCAGAGCCTCCGGAGCGCTTGGTGTTGGGATCCCGCATTTCCACGCAGTCCGTGCGTTGCCCCATTGCCCACATGGCTTCTCGGGCTTTTATAGGTTGTCTCAAAGCTCAATCCTCCAATGAGGAGCTTCTGCAGCTACTCAGACTCTTTGGGGGACTTGGACTTGGACATGACGGCTGTTGAGAAGGATGATGCTTACTTGGCCACGTCCGCCAGGAGAAAGGAGCAGCTGAACGAAGGTATCTAAGACTGGATTCTTAAAAGTAGTTGGAAAACTCTTAACGTAGATACAATCCGAGAGTTTATAGTTCAGTTCTAGAGCACTGGGGCCTGAGAACTAGCACACGCCTTACACCTCACCAACCCGGGTTCAACCTCAGTACACTATAGTGTACTGAGTGTATCTGAGCATGTCAGGAGTGATCTGTGAACAATTAAAGTTAAATAATTTTCAAACCATATTAGAATTTCAGGTCTATAAATTAACCCAGGTTCTACATCACATGTAATTTTGATGTTTCTTCAGTCTCCTCTAATCTGGAACTCTAATATTTTGTTTTCCATGACCTTGGTATTTTGAAAAATCCTTTTGTTTGAGTTGGTTTGATGTTTTCTTATTATTATTTTACTAAGGAAGTGATATAATGCCCTTCTCAGGGTACATGATCTCAATGTTTTATAATTAGTGATATTAAGTTTGATCATTTGGTTAAAGTAGGGATGTCACTCTAAATTTAAGATTTTTCTCTTTTGGGGGACCAGAGCAATAGCACAGCTAATAGGACATTTGTTTTCAATGCAGCCAAACTGGACTATCCTCAGCATCCTATAGGATTTCCTGGGCCCTTCCAGAAATGATCCCTGAACACAGATTGAGGAGTAAGCCCTGTGATTTTTAGCCTGGTGTGTCCCAAAAACCAAAGAAAGTCCCCCCCTTCTTTTTTGTTTTTGTTTTTGGCCATACCAGGCATACTAATTATAAATACATAAATATGCACACATATATGTATGCTGCCTAATATATATTGTCTCTGTCCCATCTTTATCTAGTTTTATTTTTATCTCTTAGTGATTCTGTTTTTCTGGAGAACACAGACTACTAATACACAAATGATAGTGAAAAATATTTTTTTCAGAATTGCTTAGGCTAATGTTTTTCTGCTTTGCTCCCTTTCTTGCAGTTAAGTCTTTCTTTTTGTCACTGTCCACTTCCCCCCACTCCCTTTTATTGATTCACTGTGAGATACAGTTATAAAGCTTTCACATTTGAGTTTCGGTCAAGCCATGCCATGCCATCAATCACCCATCCCTCCACCAGTGCACATTTTCTCCCACCAAAATCCCCAGTATCCCCCTCCATTCCAACCCTTCCCCTGCCTGTGAGGCAGACAATTTTCACAATACTCTCTCTCTACTATGATTACATTCAATATTTTGACACCAGTCCCACCACCACTCAAACCTGCCGATAAGGCAATGTAGCCATAGAGGAGCTTAATAAATAGCTGGGGCCTGTTTGTGGGCGTCATCTCAGAGTCCCATGGTGTGGGGAGGGAGAAGGAGAAGGGCCTTCATCTCACCTGAAGTCGAATTAGATGACCTCCCCTGGTCTAAGTGGAACACGATTCTGGTCTTGTTCTGCCTCCTGATTTCATCTCCTCTCCAGAGTAATTCCTGAGTGAAGAACCATAAGTGACCCCTGAACAGTGCTGGCTGTCACCCCCCAAACAAACAAAAATAACAAACCAAAAAATGAAATCAGATAAAATGTGCACAGAACCCTCCCGGACTTTTCATCTCACCTTAAGCCGAATTAGAAGGCCTATTGCAGGCCAATCAGAATGCCCTCTTAGCTGTTCCTTCAACATCACCCTTTATTCCTTCCCATCCCACACACGTTCCTGCCTGGTACCTTTGCACTTGCTCTTCCCTCTGCCTGAAGTTATCCCTCAGATAACATGGGGGAGGCCCTCACTTCTTTCAGCGTTCTGACCAAAAGCCATTTTTATATATTTATTTTTTTTCTTTGTTACTAGGATATAAGTGCCATTGGTGTTTTGATTTGTTCATTATCATATTCCCTGACCTAGAACTGTGCCAAGAACTTAGTAAGAAAAATACATATTCATATCAGAATATGAATGTGTATTTGTTGGATTAATCTGCTGCATATTTATTCTTTAATATGCAACATTGGGGCATTCTTTGTGGTGGCTGGGGGCCCCAGGGCTGTATTCAGCAGTGCTGGCAGATAGGTCATATGGTCCTAGAAATTGAATTCAAGGCCACACACATACTGTTATATACTCTATCACTTCAGCTATCTCCCTGATCTTCTCATTCATACTTCTTTAAGAAAATATATTCAATATTTTAAATGTCAATGTTAAGTGTCAACTACTAACAAACGCCAGCATAAGGACCAGCAATCTGGATTCCTGCCTCAAATGCATATTACATATGCATATTACAGTAACTTTGCAAATATACTATATGTCTTACTCATCAAATTGTTTTCTTTCAATATACTCCTTCACACTTCTCCTAATAGCTGTTTGTTCTTATATCAAGGAAACATATTTTTTTCTCTAAATTCTCCATAAATATATGTATTATTTTATAATAATTAAGAATCAAAAACTATTATAACAATAAATGCATAGAATTATTGTGATACTTTTCTTCACTTCTCATTCTCTTAAGGATTGTTCACACTTACAGGCTCCAAAAGTCACCAATCGAAGCATCCATCAGAGAAAAAATATTGTGAAGCATATGTGCATATATAGGTAGGCCATCTGCTATTTTGTTAAGTTAGCCCATAAAAAAGGCAACCATCCCAAATCATTGCACAGGGAAAAACAGAGAAAGAAAACATTAACAGCAGAAAGAAAATGATACAACTATTGTCATATCTCTAAGGGAACTTAACAAAGAGGGAGAAAAGGGCAAAGGAAAAGGAATTGAACTCTAATAGGGGATATAGTTGTCAAAGTCTTTTCTTACATGAAGGAAGAGTGTGGAGAGCACTGAAGAAGGCATAAGATAAGTGAGATGTATTGTCAGTACTACATCAGTTTTTAGAAACTAGATGGAAAATACTAAATTATAGAAGCAGTTGAGTAACCTAAACTGAGAAATAATGGCTAGAATGTTGTTTCCACCAGTTGAGAGCATAGATTTATTTCTGTAAATTGAAAAATCTGGGGCTAGCCAAAGAGGATATTCCCTTTGGGGGAAGGGTTGGCATACCCAGCAGAGGTGCTATGTTTGTCTTTGTGGTAAGAAGTGATGCCCTGGTAGTGCTCAGGGTACCATAGGCTATGCTGGGGATCAGATCTGAATTAGCTGCTTGCAAGGCAACACCTTTCTTCCTGTACCATCTCTCTGACCCAGGGGTATCTTACCTTAATAGTATCAGTCAGCTGAGTTTCACAGGGAAGGTTCTCAGTTATCAATGGAATGTTATCCAATCTGTGTGGATAATAGAAAAATGAGATATGGAGAAGGGAAAAAATTGAAAAAAAACACAAAGCATTCATTTTGTTAACATTCATCACCACTTCATGGAACAAAAGAAATATTTTTAAGGGTGACACCTGATAAAAACTAGGATCCCTCTGGTGACAGGAACATGTCAGAGATTTAAGGACAAGCATTGAATGAGTCTGGCCAGAGGGGTAAACATATATGAATTACTGATGAATAAATTTCTGAAATATATAGCAAGGCACTGCCCTCTTAAAACAGATTTCCCTCTGTGAAGTATATCTGGATAAAAGGCTAAAAAATAAGCGAGAAAATAGAGCTTACTCCACCATCACACAAAACTTGAGCTCGTTTTTTTTACCCTCCAAAATACATTAGTGACCTTTGGAATCCCTGTGAAGATAAGAAGTGTCAGAAGTGTGAAGAATAGTCTCAGAGGACTTGTCTACATATAAACTTGATGGAGTAGACACATTTGATTGCCTACATAATAGCAATCTCTTAGATACTCTAGTAGGCCCTTAATTTTTTTTTATGTCCAAACTTTTCCAGGAGATCATGGATCTTTGGGGATATTGACTGCATTCATAATTCTGGGTGTTGAAGTTTGACTATACTAACACAATGAAGAAAAGTCACTCTGCCATACTTGACTTAGGAGAAAACAGTTTTGGCCAGAGGAACACAAGAAAAGTTGACAGGAGAGGGTGACTTCTGGGAAAATTTTCTTAGTCTTTTTTTTTAATTGGGGCACAAAGAAAATACCCCCTTTTCAATGTGCTGATATAATGAAATATAATTATATGAGGCCCACACTTGCTGCTAGATATTTTTTCACCTTTTTGGTATTTGGGATTAAACCCAGCAACTCATATATCACTGTCACCGTCCTCCCGTTGTTCATCGATTTTCTCAAGCGGGCCAAAGTCTCCGTTGCGAGACTTTGTTGCTACTGTGTTTGGCATATCGAATACATCACAGGTAGCTTGCCAGGCTTTGCCGTGCAGGCGAGATACTCTTGGTAGCTTGCCAGGCTCTCCGAGAGTGGTGGAGGAATCGAACTCAGGTAAGCCATGTTGGTTGCATGCAAGGCAAACGCCCTACCCACTGTGCTATCACTCCAGTCCAACTCATATATAGAGAATCACTATTCAACTCTGAGGCAAGTTAACAATGAGCTCAAATGGAAGAATCAAAGAACATGGGTTCTCGATGGATTGTCAAGGTACTGAACTGAACATTCCTGGCGTATATGATCTTGGTTCTTATTATGTGAGCTAATAAATTCATGAGTGATATCAGTCATTCTGAGTTTGAGAAAGAACGAGGATTGAACTTGGCTCCTCAACCCATCAAGAAGTCCAACCTGTAAATTCCTTAGAGAGTATTTTTCTTTGAAGCAAAATACTCAATACCACCTTGCTCTCCCCACCACCACCCAGCTTACAAATCCTTCCTTAAGGAAACTTTGCATGGAAACTTCTGTAAAATTGCAATTTATAATTTGTATATCACATATCTTAAAAAAGATAATGGGAAGTTTGTGCCTGATGGTTTATGGTCTTGGTTTTTTGAGTCTTTGTCTTTACTGCCTTTATAATGTCTTTGAAATCATTCTTTGTCCTTTCACTACAATAAACCATCACCAGGTATACATGGCTTTATTGAATTCTGAAGTCCTTCAAGGGAATCAGTGATTCCATTCAATAAGAGAGGTCTTGGAGATTCCTAACACCTCTGTTACCTAAAAACCTAAAATTTCTGTTGGTAGCTTGCTTATTTATTTATTTAGTGAAACATATGAGGTACAGTTGTAGACTTACAAACTTTCGTGCTTTGTTTCACTTATCCAATAAACAAGTACCCATCCCTCCACCAGTGCCCATTCTCCACCACCAATGCAACCAGTAACTCTCCCCACCCCATTCCACCTCTGTGGCAGGGCATTCCCTTTTGCTCCCTCTTTCTTTTAGGGTGTTGTGGTTTGCAATAGAGGTATTGAGTGGCCATCATTTTTGGTCTATAGTCTATTTTCAGCAAGCATTTCACATCCCGAGCGAGTCCTCCAAACACCCTTTCCTTGGTGTTCCCTTCTCTATCTGAGCTGCCTTTTCCCCCTGCATGTGCTGCCGGTTTCCAAGCCGTGGAGCAGTCTTCCTGGTACTTATCTTAACTATTCTGTTACTTTATATTCCCCAGATGAGTGCAGTCTTTCTGTGTCTGTCCCTCTCTTTCTGACTCATTTCACTTAGCATGATACTTTCCATACTTTTTATCTTTTCTAACAGGTGCATAGTATTCTATTGTGTAGATGTACCAAAGTTTCTTTAAGCAGTCATCTGTTCTTGGGCACTTGGGTTTTTTTCCAGATTTTGGCTATTGTGAACAGTGCAGCAGTGAACATACAAGTGCAGATGCCATTTCGACTATACTTCTTTGCCTCTCCAGGATATATTCCCAGGAGTGGTATTCCTGGGTAAAATCAGAGCTCAATTTCTAATTTTTTGAAAATCATCCATACTGTTTTCCAAAAGGGCTGAACCAGTCGGCATTCCCACTAGCAGTGAAGGAGGGTCCCTTTCTCCCCACATCCGTGCCAACACCGGTTGCTTTTGTTCTTTTGGCTGTGGGCCAGTCTCTCTGGTGTGAGATGATATCTCATTGTTGTTTTGATCTACATCTCCCTGATGATTAGTGAGGTAGAGCATTTTCTCATGTGCTTTTTAGCCATTTGGATTTCTTCTTTGGCCAAGTTTCTGTTCATTTCATCACCCCATTTTTTGATGGGGTTGGATGTTTTCTTTCTGTGGAGTTCAACCAGTGCTTTGTATATCCTTGATATCAACCCCTTATCAGATGGTTATTGGGTGAATATTATTTCTCATTCTGTTTATTATCTTTGTATTTTGGTCAGTGTATCTTTTGCAGTGCAGAAGTTTCTTAGTTTAATATTTGTTTACCTCTGTTTCCATTTGGTTGGTCAGTGGCATGTCATCTTTGAAGATATCGTTAGCCTCAATATAGTGGAGGGTTTTGCTGAACTTGTCTTCAATGTACCTCATTGGATTCTGTTCTGATGTTGAGGTCTTTAATCCATTTTGATCTGACTTTTGTGCATGGTGTTAAGTTGAGGTCTAAGCCCATTTTTTTGCATGTGGTTTTCCAGTTATGCCAGCACCATTTGTTAAAGAGGCTTTCCTTGCTCCACTTCACATTTTTTTTGAAGTGGTAAGTATTCTTTATTCAATGTTATACATACATCACATTAAAATACTTTTCAGTAAGTGAAAGGCAACATTTTTAGATACAGAGAATTTTTAATTAAATCAGCATAATTAAGAAAAAGATATAAGGTCACTGCCAACTAATCTTATCATGCCAAAAAACACAACCTAAGGAGACAGTGATACCCTCAATCTTTAGATATATTAATATACCCGGTTCTATAAATCTGAATAGAAAACTATACTCCCACAGGTATGAGATGGCCATCTCCATCCCTTGGAAAGGTGAATATGATGAATTAAGTTCAATCATATCTTTGGAAAGGGACAGTGATTGCACTTGATGACCTGGAATTATCATTACAATTCAAAAATCTGATCATACTCATTTAAAACACAAGCCAATCTTATTTAAATCAAGGCTGCCTAACAAAAATATGCTATTGGTCACTCCTGATCTGAATTCTGGTGAACTAGATGGATTTAAATATGGTACACATAAAAAAGTCATGAGATATTCGTTTTGTAATAAATAAGGTGGTGCCAACTTGAAGGATGGTGGATTGAGTTTCCCTCCCCACCCCGAGCAGAGCCTCGGCAGCTGAAGACCTCTGGTTCCAGCCACAACCATGCTTAAGACCACTCTCCACACATTCGGATGAGCCTCACGCATGAAGGAACCAGCAGAGCAACCCAGGTGTGTGGGACCCAGGGCGTAGATCTCCAAGCCTGCTTGGATTGGGACTGGGCTTCCTCCACCCGGACCCCCCATCTTCCAGTATGTAGGCATTACACCCACCAATTGCCCCTGGGGCCATGTAATCCCATCAGTGGCCAAGACCCAGAGACTATAAAACTCTGCTCCCAAAAAAGAACAGCGCAGAGTGTCCTGCCTCCATGCCTGGCTGTCCTCACCAGGACTCCTTGGAGGAGGGTGGGTTGAGTTTCCCTCCTCACTCCGAGCAGACATCTTATTATCTAGTTCTTATTCTAGAGAACCTGGCAGGTTACCAAAAGTATCCTGCCCACACAGCAGAGTCTGGCAAACTCCCTGTGGCGTATTCAATATGCTAAAAACCAGTAACGATGATGGGTCTCATTCTCCTGACCCTGAAAGAGCCCCCCTCAAATGGCACTTTTTAAAATCCCAGGGCCAGGAAGAAGGAGACGTTACTGGGGCCTGCTCAAGGCAATCGATGAACAATAGGATGACAGTGATACAGTGATACAACTATACTCATTAATAGCTTTTTTGAGATAAGCTATCAACTCTGCCTGCTTGGTCTTCTTAATGTCAGCAAAGATAATATTTGTTCCAGGGATGTAATACTTGGGATTCTCCAAATACTCCATCGGCGTGTTCTCATTCCAGGTGATGCCTTTGTTCTTGTTGACATCAGTGTAAGAGAATCCGGTGGCCTGACCCGTCTTTTGCCCAAACAGACCATGGAGATTGGGCCTCATCTTGTTCTTGCCTTCCTCCTCCACGGTATGGCACTGAGCGAACTTCTGGACAAAAATCTCTTTGCTGTTCTCAATATCACCCATCTTAGAATCTTGCCTTCGTCTTATGTGACATGGAGAGTTTGCTTTGTGAGTCCGATGTCCCATTCTTTAAGTCCAAGGACACCTCCACTTCACATTTCTTGCTCCCTTATTAAAGATTAGATGCTCATACATTTGGGGTTATGTGTAGGGATATTCTACTCTGTTCCATTGGCCTGTGGCTCTGCCTTTGTTCCAGTCCCATGCTGTTTTAGTTGTTATTGCTTTGTAATAGAGTTTCAGGTTGGGGAGGGTGATGCCTCCCATCATCTTTTTCCCAAGAACTGGTTTAGCTATTTGTAAGCATTTGTTGTTCCAAACGAATTTTAGGAGTGTTTGATGCATTTTTTTGAAGAATTTCATAGCTATTCTTTGTTGGAAGCTTCTTTATTCATTCTAGGGTCCATGCTATACTGGATCAATTGTCTACTGGAAATAGCACTGGTACCTGGAAGATGTGGATTCACAGTTGATTCCTTATAGTTGTGATTTTATGTGGGGTTATGAGGAAGTCACAGAGTTCTGATCTGTGCCCTTGTTAAATGGGACCATATATACTCTGTCTAAAAACCTCAAAAAACATACTTATCTAAGCTTAGCTTACATAATCATTTATTCATCAATTCAGAAAATATTTACTATGCTTCTGTTGTAATGTGTGATTCATAGCTGACTTATAATGCTACTAACTGCAAAGCCACAGCCCCCTGATTTTCATGAAGCTCCTTTCTTTTTTTTCTTGCTGTAAATGACCTTGTCCAATTTCTCTTTATGTAACCACGGTTGTAACTCCTTGTCTTATGATGTCATTGTGTACTTGAACCCCAACGTCACTGGTGTACTTGATTCCATATTGTAACTCCAATGACTGTACTTCCTGTCTCATACTAGATAAGAAGTTACATGAGCTGTAGCAGATGCTCTGTAAAAGTGCCTTTGAAACCCCTGATCCCTGGCCGACGGCTCCAGACACGTGCCTAGCTTCTGTCCCAGATCTGGCCAGCTGGTGTAAATAAAGACCTCCTTGTTTTCCTGCCAAATCTTTGTCTCTGTGTGCTTGATTAAGGAAACACCCTTTATAACATTATATTCTCAACACTATTCCAGGTACTAGATAACCGAGGAGTACAGAAAGAGGAAGAAAGTTATAATCTGTTCAGGAAAACAGGTAATGCATTGCTTTAAAAAATAGGATTGGGTTTCAGTCAATGTCCCAACACCCAATCCTTCACTAGCGTACACTTCCCACCACCAATGCCTGTTTCCCTGCCCCCATCCCCATCATAAACAACTTTGTAGCTGTATATTTCATGGCGATTCAATCAGAATAAAATAAAATAAAATAAAAAGTATGATCTCTTGGGGGTGGGATGGGCGGTGGAGGGGAAATAAGAAAGGAAAATAAAACAGAAGGAGCCAGGGACAGTTGAGAAACATTATCCCAAAGGCACATGGTGATGTAGTCTGTTAGGAATTCTCCAGATGCAAAAGCATCTGTTCATTCAAGATCCTAGCCAGGTGGAAGGAAAACTAATGAATGCAGAATGTTGAGCAAGGGTTTCCTCTGAATTTGAAAAGGAAGCATAGTTCTTAACCTAGGCTTATGGTAAGGGGAGTGCAGAAAAACACTTTGATGGCAGAATCACTTTCACTGGATCAGTGATTGTTATTAAGATAATGGTGAAATCTGGATTGAATCCATACAAACCATTCAGTGCTTAATGAACTATGGTAGAGTTAACACTATCTAGTTAATGTAGTTGCTGACAGTAGCTTAGAGCTGACTTGAAATCCAGGAACACAGGATTTCTCAGGAAAATGACAGGTTAAAAGTGAAAGATAGTCTACTGAATGTTGGAAAGACAAAAATGATAACGCAAAATAAGATCAACTCAAACTACTCATATCATAATGATATGGCCTTTCCTGTTGTGATTGGTGCAATTACTAAGCTCATTATCATCTTCTCTCTGGAATAGTAGCCTAGAATTCTACACTGGGTGAAGCCTAGAATGAAGACTGCTTCTCAGGTTATGGGAGCCCTTCTTTGGCAATTTCAGTGGAATGGGCCATTTGCACTTCAATAAGACCCCCTTCAGTGATAAGATCCAAGATTTCTGAATAAGGATTCAAATCTCTTAGGTTCAATATCATGTTCAAGGTAGATTTAATGACTCTGTGAAACTTGTCATTTTAAGTCTTTACTCAAATTCTTTTTTTGCAAGACAAAGAAACTTTCCCTAAGTGAGGAGAAATTGCAATAGATATTTTAGAAATATTTCTTCTAGAGACCATTTTGCTGGGGCCTCCCTGGCAATGCTGGCAGACCAGTGGTCGCTCTCGGTGGTAATCTATCAGGCAGTGTGGACATTACTATCTGGTTCTCAGGGCCCTGGTACTCAGGTGACACCAGAACTATACCTCTAGGTGCTGGAGGGCAGGGGGCATGTGGGAGAGGCAGGAAACAGGCCAGCAAGCAAGTAGGTGGGTGGGGGAGGGCATGACAAGGAGTTTCTGAAGCCAGAAATTACTCTGCCTCCTTTGGGAGATGCTTCTCCAGGGGAAAAAGACCTGATTCTAAATGACATGTCAGAAAGGCTGAACCCCACTGTAGAGATTATTCAGCTGGAAGAAAGGCCTAATAAATGCATAAGGTAAGACCATCAAAAATTCAAGCACTGTAGCACTGTCCTCCTGTGGTTCATCGATTTGCTCGAGCGGGCCCAGTAGTGTCTCCATTGTGAGACTTGTAGTTGTTGTGTTTGGCATATCAAATATGTCATGGGGAGCTTGCCAGGTTTTGCCATGTGGGTGAGATAGTGTAGCTTGCTGGGCTCTCGTGAGGGGTGGAGGAATCGAACCAGGGAGCCGGCTCAGCTGCGTGCAAGACAAATGCCCTACTTGCTGGGCTATATAAATGGATGGACATGGAGAGTATCATGCTGAGTGAAGTGAGACAGAGGGATAGGGATAGACTGTACTCATTTGTGGGATATAAAAAAAAGCATAGTATGGGACTAATACCTAAGGACTACTACCTAACGATACCTCATTTCTACTAATGAAGACCAGAAGGATTGGTCTATGGTTGGAAGTTTCCCACAAGTTGTGGGTGGAGGGGATGTGAGGAGGCAGTTAGGACAGAGAAGGGACCACTATTACAATGACAGTTGGAAATGATCACCCTGAACAAGAACCGAATGCTGAAAAGAGGTAACGAGATATACCTGATAACATTTAAGTATCTATATTTCAAACCATAATGCACAAAAGGAAAGAGAGAGTGAGAGCAAGAGATAGAGAGAAAAGTGCAGTCGAGGCAGGCTGGGGTGAGGGTGGGGTGGATGACAAGAGAGGAACTGGACATTGGTGGTGGGAAATGTGCACTGGTGAAGGGACAGATATTGGAACATTGTATGACTGAAATCCAATCATCAGCAACTTTGTAACTCTGTATCTTATGGTAATTCAATTAAAAGAAAAAGTTCAAAGTCCCTTCCTCTCACAGCACCATTGTTAAGACTTTTTATCTGCACAGACAGATCTCACCAACACAGCTTGAAACAACCCATCTGGAACGTTTCCCCCAAAGTCATTTGGGGCTTTCTTATCTCTCTGAAGATGCCTTCTCTCTGAGATATGTTTCTTTTTTCTCATCCTTTTAAAGTAAAATTTCTTTACTTGATTCTTTGTCTTCTGACATTTCTTTCTACAAAGATAAACAGACAGTGGAGAGGTAGGCAGAGATAGAGATTGACTTTTCCTATCTCCTTCAGTGTATAACTTTGCCTCAGTGTAAGAGCTGTGCCTTCCTCAAGTGAGGCAAAGGTGCAACTTGATAGCGGTGTTGTTTGGGCTGGCAGGACTTTATGTTCATGTATTGTGGATACCTCTCTGCACCCTTTCTCTAACCTGTGGGTCCCTTCTCACCCCATCAGCAACATAATGATGTTTTGTGGAGCTATCCCTGCTGTCCTCAGGTCATTCTTCAAGGATTCACCTTATATAGTATAAATATTTTATTTTTTATCAAATAAATTCTTCTTGCCAATTGCTCTAAATTTGTTGGTGATTCCGATTTAATCACTTCTGTATTTGAATATATATCATGATCATGATCATCCTGTTGTTCGTCAATTGCCTAGAGCAGGCACCAGTAACGTCTCCTTCGCCCTAGCCCTGAGATTTTAAAAAGTGCCACATTCAATGCTCTTTCAGAGTTAGGAGAATGAGACCTATCATCGTTCCTGGTATTTGGCAAATTGGGTACACCATGGGGAGTTTGCCAGAGTCTGCCGTGTGGGCAGGTTACATTCTGTAGCCTGCCAGGTTGTCCAAAGTAAGAATGAGACAATAAGATAATAAGATAATGAGATAAGATAATAAGCACGGCACTTCCGGGAGCTGGGAGTTGGTGGGTGTGACCCCTGCCTACAGGAAGATGGAGGATCTGGGTGGAGGATGCTCAGCCCCGATCCGAGCAGGCTTGGAAATCTCAGCCCCAGGACCCACATGCCTTTGTTCCTCTGCCAGTACTTTCATGCGTGTGGAGAGTGGTCTGAATATATATATATATACATACATATATATGTACACATATATACATATATAGAAAACATGATAAACTAAGAAACTAAAATGTATATATTGAATCAAAATGTCATCATTTATTTATATTTTGGTTTGGGCGCCACACCCAGCAATGCTCAGGACTTACTCCTGGCTCTGTGCTCAGGGATCACTCCTGGTGAGCTTGGGGATAATATGAGGTGCTGGAGATTGAATGTGGGTTGGTTGTGTGCAAGGCGAGCACCCTACCTGCTGTACGATCTCTCCAGTCTTTCAAAATGTCATTATTTAAATATGAAGAAAAAAATAAAAATGAGGCTTTGTTTACACCCATCGCATGGGAATTTTTTACATTATATTTGGGACTCAATAACTTTTACAACTTGGCCAACAATGAGAAAAATCAAGGAGTCATTGCTGAATGTAGTCTACAT